GATTCTTATAGTGAAAAGTAATTCCTGCGATCTCAAAGGCATACAAACAAAGATTCAATTTGCTCCAAACTATTATTAAGCTAAATTGGTTGAATATTAATGCAATATATAATTCTAAAATATTTGTGATCACTTGAATTAATTAACAAGATTAAAAAGGAACCTAAACCGGTTGTCCAAATTATCTTATTATGCGTGATTTTCAATTACATATTCCTTTTAAACATGCAATATGGTGATCAATAAAAAATATAATAGAATAAACATTAATATTAGAAGAAATTTAACAATAATAATGTTAGTCAAATCAAATATAAAATAACCTAATCATGATACTAGCAATATTAAATAATAAGAGTAATTAAGTGAATTAATTACTCACTTTCCGCATTTCCTTGAATTGTTATCATGAATAAATTGTTAGTAATTTCAATAAAAATATAAATCAAATGAAAATTAAATTAATTAAATATAGATTTGATTTGGTCCAAACCCTCAGTTATTTATACCTTTCACGCCTTGGTTAAAGTATAGAACTTCGGGTTTAGTATAGACTCCTTGGAGTGCTTAAGGAAGGAATGAAAGAATAGGGAGGCTAGTGTTTAGGCTAAAGAGGGAGAAGAGAATTATTTTGTGATCAAGCTTGTTGATGATTGAAAAAGGGGTGATATGAAATCTTTTTATAGAGAAAAAAGAGGGGTCGAAAAAACAAGATAAGATCCGAATTAAATCGGAATAAAGCTCGATAGACAACAGTTTTTGCGGTTTTTGTTTTTATCATATCTTTTAATCTAGAAATCGGAATATGATGAATAAGATATCGTTCGAAAGATCTTGAAGTCTAATTTCTAACCCAATTAGAATCAGATTAAAATATTTTGTAGAATAAAAGATATGGACGAAATAGTGAGACGGTGTCAGTTTTGGATAGAGTTTTTTATTTAATTCATATCTTTTTCGTTAGAGCTCGGAATTGATATTATAATATATCACTGGAAAGATAATTTCAAGGGCTATCCAACCATATAAAATTTGGATAAAAATATGATGCAAGAAAATAATATCTGTCTATCTTTAAACGTCTTTCAATTCGGATATAAATAGGATTTTTTAAAAAAGGAGTTTTATTCAATTTAAAACTATTTAATCTTATCTTTTCAAAAAAGATAATTAAGATATTTTAGAAACTTATAGAAGCTTCCAATTAATCCTAATTGGTTTAGGAATGGGATTAGATAATTTGGACCCTCCACATGATCATTGGGTCGTAGGTAAGGTGGGCTGAGGTTCGGTTTGGGCTCAGTTTAATATTTTAGCCATAACTTATTCGTTATAACTTGGATTTGGGCTTATAATATATCGTTGGAAAGCTATTTTCAAGCCCCATCCAAATATTCAATCATTGGACCCATATTATGGACCAAAATAAACTGGATCAAAAGTTTTTATAAAAAGGACACGAAATGAATGATTTTAAAGGACACGAAATGAATTATTTTAGATTTAAAGGTACGAAAAGAGGAAAATAAGTTATGGTTTGGGGAAATGGGCTAGGAATTGGGATGGTTTATGAAATGGAAATATGGATTTAAGCACTCCAAAAATTAAATACTCAACCCGACCAATAATGGCGGTGAAAGGTTGTTCATCATCGGGTTTGGTTTTGGGGAGACATTTTTAGGTGTCTACAGTATGTTATTCGTCCCTGTTTGTTTCGATGCTACTTTGGTGCAAAGCTCCTAGAATTCTCAGCGAATCAATTTCATTTGACTGGTTTTTGTTTGGTCCTAGTTTAATCAGCCCGTTCTTTGTGAAGTTTGTTTGTGTTAGTTCCCTTGGAAAACAAGGGGTTGTTTTTGTTAGGTTGTTGCTAGAGGTTTTTGCTCATTATTGTTTATGGAAAGCAAAATCATTTGCTTTAGGATACTTTAGTGTTCCCTCTAGAGTTATACCTTTTGGGAGGGGTTCTGGTCCTGTGATTTGTGACGCTTCTGCTGGTGGTTTTTTGAAGTTTGGCTTGGCCGTGCCTATGGATGTTGAGCAATTTCCTAATAGTGACTTAAAGTTTGAATGGGTCTCGGATGAGACCATGGATAAGACAAATAATTCTCTTGGGGTTGTAGGTAAACTTTGGATTGATAGAACAGTTAATTCAAATGCTCTAGTTGTAATGTTAAACCGTTTATGGAACCCTAGGTGTGGGATGGAAGTAAGGCGTATTGGAAAGAGCATCTTTTTCTTTCAATTCCACCATTGGAGAGATAAGGAGTTTGTAATGGAAGCTTGTCCCTGGTACTTTGATCGCCATATCTTAGTACTTTGCAATGTTGATGGCGAAAAAAGTTTTTCTCAACTTCCTCTCCACATGTCGCCCTTCTGGGTCAGGGTATTTAATTTTTCAGCTCTAAGCGGTATAACGGAAGTGAAGGCAAGAATCATTGGGAATAAAATTGGCTCTTTTATTGCACTTGATAGGTCTAATATCATTGGGACTTCTTACCTAAGAATTAGAATTATGATTGATCTTACCGCTCCTTTGGTAAAAGAGGTTTATTTATTTTTGAAAGGAGGATTTTCTCAACAAGTTACAGTGAAATATGAGAAATTGCCTCTTTTCTGTTATGTTTGCGGGAGATTAGGTCATGGAGAAAAGGATTGTGGCGATGTCTTGAAGGGTGTAGGTTCACTGTGTATGTACAGTGACTCTCTCTGTTCTTTTCCCTATCACGTGAAGAAGGGAAATCGAAGGGTAGGTGAGAAAGGCAGTACTTCTGGTGTGTGCAGACCTTTGGTCACATTTGGAGAGCGTACGACAATGGAATTAATGAAGGATTGTAGGATTTGTGGAAAGAGAAAACTGCCTCTAGAATTTAATGATATGGGAAACTGTATGGGGAGTGACAGAAGGAAAAGAGTCAAGGGAAGTGGAAAAGGTTAAGTGGTAAGGGGAATAGTAAGTCTGATAGACTAGAGAATTCTCTACAGTCGGGGTGTTTTGATAATGACAATGATAAGGGCAAAAGGTCTGTGAACCTCAATTTGATTAAGAATTGTGATAAGATGAGGTATGGGGTTAAAGTATTTGGTCCCTGTAAAAGATCTGGTTCAGAGCAGAATTTTTCACTCTCTCGTTTAGGTGATGAGGGTAATATATCTCCTTATCTGCAGTGTCTTAACCCTTTTAAAAAACGTAGAGGGTCTTCCAATCACCACCATTTGGGTTGCATTTTAGGTTTATCTTCTGAGGGTTCGGTGGCTCCCCGGGCTGAGCCACCACGGTTTCCATGAATGTGGCAGCCTGGAACTGTAGGGGTCTTGGAGCAGCGGACTCCCCTAAGGTTCCGTATATTGCTTTGTTAGTCCGCTCTTATGGTATTGATATTATGTTTTTAGTTGAAACCATAACTAGTGTTTCTATTGCTGTACAAAAGTTGTCCTCTTTAGCTTTTAGTGGGTTTTGTGGTATGGATTCTAATGGGCTTAGTGGAGGATTAGTTGTTTTTTGGTTTTCCCCCTTAAGGTAGTTCCTATTTCAGTCTCACCAAACGTAATATTTTGTGAAGTCCATGTTCCTGGTCAACTAATCAAGAATGTAGTTTTTGTATACGGATCACCTCACATTTCAGCTCGTAGGTCTGTTTGGGATGAGATTTCTACTATTCTTAGGACAATTGACAATGTTGTTTTACTAGGAGATTATAACCAAGTTGAATAATTAAAGGACAAAGTTGGTGGGTCCTTTAACATTCCTGGTCGTCAGGACTTTGTGGATTGGAAACTAAATGAGGAATTGATGGATGTTCCTTTTTCGGGACCTCCTTATACTTGGACTAATGGCCAATTAGATGCCTCGATTTTCGAGCGTCTAGATAAGGCTTATGCTTCTAGGAAATGGTTGGAGTCTTTTCCTGAGACTAATCTTATCCATCAACCTATTTTATTCTCTGATCATGGGGCGATTATTTTACGTGATACTCCTGTTATTTCAGCTAGGAAACGTCCTTATAGAATTGAGAATTGGTGTTTGTTATTTCGGGAAGTTTCCTTGCTTATTGGTACCAATTGGCAAGTTAATGCCCAGGGGTCTAAGATGTTTTCGGTATGTCGTCAATTGGATCATATTCGTCGTTTGTTATTGGCTTGGTGTGTTGTTCATAAGAAATCGTGGGGTATTGACTGGAGGAAGATAGAGACATCCATTTGCTCTTTATCCGGTACTTTGGCTACTGAGTCAGATCATATGAGATTTATTTCCGCGAGAAAGGAAGTTCTAGATAAATCCCAAGTTGAATTTCTTTATTGGAAACAGCGAGCTAAGATGAAATGGGATGCATTGGGAGAGGCGCCGACTCGGGTTTTGTTTGCTTCAGTGCAGGCTCGTAAACAACACAATAAGATTATTAGCTTGAAGGATGTTTTGGGTAATTGGGTATCGGATCCGGCTGGGATCTCGCAGATGTTAACTGATCATTTCTCGAACCTTGATCAATGTCATTCCACTTCCGTTGAAATTCCGGTCTTGGAGTGGGAAGATTTACAACTTCCCACTCTTTCTTCCTCTGCTTGTCAGGAGCTTATGTTACCTTTTTCAGATATGGATATCAAGGATGCTATGTTTCATATTGGCGATGAAAAATCTCCAGGTCCGGATGGGTATACGACAACCTTCCACTACGTGAAAAAATGAATTTGACACCGGTTCAAACCCGACCTAAGGCACCGGTTTGAACCGGTGCCAATGTTAGGGGTGCCAAAAAGGGGTTTAAAAAGGCACCGGTTCAAACCAGTGCCAAAACTTGAAATTGGCACCGGTTAACCGGTGCCAAAAATGGGTTTAAAAAAATGTGGAATTGTTTTTGGCACCGGTTAACCGGTGCCAAAAGTGCCAAATATTATAATTTTTTTTTTTGTTTTTTTTATTTTATTTTAGAACATCAAACAATTAAAAATCGAATCAAATTATTTAGAACACCAAAATATAGATCGAATTTCAATCAACATAATCAAAAATTTACAATATATAATCAAAACAATTTTACAATATACATCAATACAGTAGTAGTTCAATTACAACATATAAAAAAAATTACAATATAAATAAAAAAAATAAACTCAATATTCTTGCATCTTGAATTCTTGATTCTCCCTTTAAGATCTAACTCAAGATACCTGCACCAATTAAAGCAAAAAAAAAAAACGATTAATATAATTAAGCTTCCAAAAAAATTAAACCCAGGAAAAGTTAAAGAATTTCGAATTTAAATCGAATAAAATAAAAAAATCGAAAAATAAAAAATAAAATCAGTTGACAAGAAAAAAAAACCCAGAACATCATTTAAAAACCAAAATTGAACCCAGAAATTAAAAACCAAAATCAAAAATCTGGAAAAAAAAACTCAGAAAATAAAAAAAAATTCGAATTTAAATCGAAAAATAAAAAAGAAAATCCCAAAACAAACCCAGAACAAACCCAGAACAACAAACCCAGAACAAATCTTGCATCTTTAACGGATCTAAATCAAGTAAAAAAAATCAACAAACCCAAAACAAACCCAAAAACGCATGCATTAACCCAAAATGATTATTGTAACCGAAAATTAACCCAAAAATCGAAAAACAAAATCAAAATCGAAAAAATAACAATCGAAATTGAAAAAAATCAAAAGGAAAGCCAGAAAAAATAACAAGCGAAATCGAAAAAAAATCAAAAACCCAGAAAAAAAAATTAAAATCGAAATCGAAAAAATAACAATCGAAATCGAAAAAAATCAAAAACCCAGAAAAAAAAATTAAAATCGTAAAAAAAAACCGAGAAATCGCTTAAAAAAAATCAAAATCAATTGAAAGAAGAGTTTGAAATTAAAAAAATCAAAATCGAAAAAAAAATTTATTAAATTCGAATGAAAAACCTCAAAATCCGTGTTGCATGTTGTTGTCTTCGAATTTGTTGGTAGTTTTCGAGTGATAATAGCAAGGAGGAGGAGATCTAGCTACACTACAAGAAAACAGCAAAATTGCGACGGAAAAATTTCGTCGTAAACTATGTAAATTCCGTCGTAAAGTTGGTTTACGATGGAATTCCGTCGTAAATGGTTGTCGGAAAACCCTTTGTAGGAAAATGGCCATTTTACGATGGAAATTCTGTCGTAAACCAACTTTACGACGAAATTTACGACGGAAATAATATCGTCGGACTTGGAATTGGCCTTTGATGAAGTTCCGTCGCAAACTTTCGACGGAAAAAGTTCCGTCGCAAAGCTAGATTACGACGGAATTTTCCCTCGCAAAATACAATTTACGACGGAAAATTCCCTCGCAAAATATGATTTACGACGGAATATTTTCCGTCGTAAATCATATTTTGCGAGGGAAAATTCCGTCGCAAATATGTAAATTACGACGAAATATTCCGTCGCAAATTGTATTTCCAGCCCAAAACAAATTTTTGTAATTTTCTGCATTTTCAAACCTGGATTTTTTTAATGATAAATCGACAAAAAAAAAACCTAAATATGGAGTCCTAAAATTGTTGTTTTAAAAAAATTAATTACCGACCGACGAAATTAGGGTTATGTACATATATATATAATAATTATGTCCTAGTACAAAAGATAGTCCACATTTTGGTATCTATACCAAACAAAAGCTAGGTTAGAGTGATTCTATGCTAGACTAAAGCTAAGCTACGCAATCCCTTGGAAACCCTGGCCTGCTCCACCACCACCCGGGTTGTTCCTAGGGTCTCGATGCTGAGGATGAATGGTGGAACATGAGTCGTTGTTGTTGAGACGACTCATCATCTCATCGAAACTCTCCTTGTATCTCCTCTCCATTTCAGCCATTCGGGCTTCCATTTGAGTTTGGAGAGTTTGCACCCTGTGTTCCATCTGGTCTTACATTTGAGAAATGACAGACGGCGTGTATTGCTGTGAAGAACGGGAACCTCGACCCTGTTTTCCATAGTAAAGCTCTGCACTTTGGCCAAGTCCCTTCACACGCCCCTTCTTATTGCGCCCACCCACCGACTCCCAGTACAACTCATTGGGACTCTTCTGAATCCCCTGGCTCCTTGTTTCTTCGAGCTTCTTCTGGTAGGTGTCCTACAAAATATTGAAGATAAAAAAAAATATTGTTAAAAAAACAACCAACAATATGGAGTTATATCGCATACTTTTAGGTGCCTAAGGATAGAAATTAAGAAAATTAAGCACATAAGTCAATTTTCAACCCTCACTCATCCAAAATCATCAAAATTTGGGCTATATCGCTAAAACCATGCCTATTTTCTATGTTTTCAAGCACATGTAAGGTTTCTTTCTTCTAACATTCCAATATCAATTGCTTTTAAGTGCCTAAGGAGATAAATTAAGAGAAAAAAGTACATATGTCAAATATCGACCCTAACTCATCCAAAATCATCCAAATTTGCCCTATATGGCTAAAACCATGCCTATTTTCTAGGTTTTCAAGCAAATGTAAGGTTTCTTTCTTCTAACATTCCAATATCAATTGCTTTTAAGTGCCTAAGGATAGAAATAAAGAAAATTAAGCACATAAGTCAATTTTCAACCCTCACTCATCCAAAATCATCAAAATTTGGGCTATATCGCTAAAACCATGCCTATTTTCTATGTTTTCAAGCAAATGTAAGGTTTCTTTCTTATAACATTCCAATATCAATTGATTTTAAGTGCCTAAGGATAGAAATTAAGAGAAAAAAGCACATATGTCAAATATCGACCCTCACTCATCCAAAATCATCCAAATTCGGCCTATATGGCTAAAAACATGCCATATATCAACTCATATAATAAGTGTTTACCGCAATCCTTTTTGCTTTGTTGTTGGCAGCCACTTGGCCTTTACCAGGCACTTCCTTGAAGTGTGTCTTCAAGAAAAGATCATGGGCATTTGGTAATTGGCCTTGGTTTTTTGCAGCCTTTATATGTACATGTAGAAAATCAATGAAAACATGTTAGCCCACCAAAATTCATTAATAGACAAATGACATAATTGTTACTGGACATATTGTAGGAACCTTACCAACTTTTTAGCATGTTGTACAGATGACATTGAACCTTGAAAGTGGGTCGGTTCAACAACATTTTCCATGGATCCGCCTCTTCGGTTCTTCTTGTTTTATTCCGACCCCTTATGATATTTTGGATCGGTGGCAACAATTTTCATCATGCCTTCGTGGACATCCTTATTAAGCCATCTTGGTTTGCGACCATTCAGCCTGTGTGTGATGTTGTAGAACGTGTCACGTAGGCGATTTGCAAAATTTTCTTCGAAAGTGTTCTTCACTTGGTTGTTTAACTCAGGTGCCCACTTGAATTTTTTCTGCAAATCAAGAAAATGTCTTTATTACAAAATTCAACTCCATCAATATAATTTATAAAACATGTATTATGTTAGGTTAAAGTTATCATACGTTAAATAAGTTCCAAAAGTGCTCTCTCGAATCTTCATCAACCTCTCCATAATTCCTCCAAGGCTGAACATAGTAGCCGGTTAGCGAGTCGGAGAGCAAGCCTATCATCAAACCTATAATAAAGGATAGACATTCATGTAAGTAGATAATCAACAAAAAGTGAACAAAACATGGTTAAAGTAATACAAATTCACTTTATCAAAGTAAATACGAATTTAAGGATATTTCATTATACAATTACATACGCACCAAAGTGTGGAAGGGTCCAACTCTAGCAAGTCATTAGGATGCAGGTCCTGTAGCTCCTGTTCCTGATGCTGTTGTTGCTCTTGTTGCCCTTATACATTTCTGACGATTTCTTGAGAGGCCCCCAAATCATGTGCCTCCTCTTCCTCCATTTACTCATCCTCATCAACACGTACAACCGGAGATTTCCCCTTAGACTTTCTCCTCTTGGACGTTTCTCCTTTATTTCCTCCTCCCATGATGACCACTTGAAAAAGTTGTTAGTACCATAATCGCACATTGTAAATTCATAAATTAGATCCATAAGACATTAAAATAATAAAATGAGACCAAAAATGTAATGCAATATTACAAGTCCGAGTAGTCATTAAAAACTAAACATTCGAAGACAATAGTAAAAGGAGTAACTACATATTCTCCTCTTCATTACTCTTATCACTACTACCACTATCATTATCACTATCATTATTACTATCACTAGTGTCATCTAAAAATACATCGATGTCCTCTTCTTCGTCACTGTCACTGGAGCCAATGCTTTCTTCTTCTTCTTCATCGCTTGAGATAATAAAGCCATCGTCATCATCATCATCACTATCAAGTTCATAGTCTGGAATGTCATTTGGTGGACAAAGCGTTGCATGTACTTGTGGTGAAGGACCCTGCAAAAACTCTAAATCCACCGGAGCATCAATCACTGACCTTGCTTGAGTTCTAAATACAGCCCACCATTGAACCCGATCACGTTTAAGACTAGGGTAAGATGCATAATACACTTGAGACACTTGGTAAGATAAGACAAATGGATCATACTTGGGATACTTCTTAGTATGATTTACTTCGACAAGCTTGTATTGTTCATGAATGTTCATTCCTTTACCACAATCCATCCAACTACAACTAAACAAAATAGTCTTGTACTCTTTTTTGGGACCGGTGTAGACAAGTTCAATTATGTCGTTTAAAATGCCAAAATACTCTCCACCGTCCTCACTTGAGACACACACCCCATAATTCATCGTAGATTTGTGTTTGCCATAGGACTGTGTGTGGAAATTAAAGCCACCGACAAATATCTGGTTCCAAGTTCGAACACGCTTGAAAGGCCTCATAGACAATGCTCGCAACACATCAAAACTTGGTTTTTGTTCTCTCACCTATAACCGTTACGAATACAAGTGTCACACTAATTGAAATGAAATATATTATATTATATTATCACAAATTAATCGATATGCAATGTTCGAAAAGTATTATCACCTTGTGATGAAACCAATCAGGGAATTCACTTTCGCATTTCTCCATGACATCTTCTCGACGCAAATAAGTTCGAGTACTAAGAATGTAGTCCTCAAACTGCCTAATAGATTAATGACACATGGTTAATCATTGCAGCAATTATATTAAATTTAAGGGATTTTCAAAAATTTATCGTAAACATATATACCTTTCGTATTCACCAAGAATGCCGGTATTTCTTAAAACGAACAAATGAGCACATTCGAGTTCCTTGTCATCTAAATACCGAGTTTTACCCAAATTTGACACACGACCCTTATCCACCGTGAACAGCTCTGGGATTTCATCGTTGTCAGCCGAGGATTCCACATCAGCATTCACATTTCGACCTAGATCTCGTGTTTTTGTGTCAACTGAGGGATGAAAGTAATTGGAGCAGAAGTTTGATATCTCTTCAGTGAGATAAGCGTTGCATATGGAACCTTCAACACGAGCCTTATTACCAATTTTTCGTTTCAGGTGATTGAGGAACCTGTAATTATGTTTATGTAGCCGTAGAAGTATAAGTAACGGAAATCAATGAAAGAGATGAAAGTAAGAGTTGAGAAAGGACCTTTGATTTACCTTTTGAAAGGATACATCCACCGATATTGAACAGGTCCACATAACTTGCCCTCATATGGCAAATGAATTGGTAAATGCTCCATGGAGTTGAAGAAAGATGGGGGGGAAAACCTTCTCAAGCTTGCACAGGATCTCAACTATGTTTTTTTCCAATCGCTCCATGTCGCTAACTGTAATTGTGTAGCAACATAAATCGCGCAAGAATTGGCTTATCTCTGTAATTGCATTCCATATATGGGTAGGGAGAAATTCTCTCAAAGCAGTGGGCAACAACCTCTCCATGAACACGTGACAATCATGACTTTTCATTCCATGTAACTTACCTGATTGCAAATCAACGCATCGGCTCAAATTGGAAGCGTAACCATCAGGAAACCGCAACTCTTTGACCCACTCACACAAAATCTTTCTCTGAGCCTTGTCAAGAGCAAATGGAGCCTT